ACGTTATGGGCCCATGCTGAGGGAATGAATTTTGGGCAGGCAGTCACATGGACAGCTTTGCTCAGGGGACCCGGAGGCCCCACCAGTGAATGGGCAGATGCCCCTTTTGACTTTGCTGTCTTTCTAAGTACCAATTTCTGGGGTGAAAATCCTTGTTCTTAAAGAACTGATATAGTCGCATTGGGTTAAGGATGAGTAATTGCACTGATGGTGAATATGAAGTGAAGCGAATGTGATCTCTCTTCATTCTGTGCTGTCTTATCTGGCGTTTAGTCACGTCCAGACCAAAGCAGCCAATGCAGCTGACTATTTGACACGTGATGTAACAGACGGCTAACAGGCCTATTGCCTACTGGGATTCCCGTCGGGTCGTTCAAAGGGCTTTTTGTGCCATGGTGCCTGGGGTCAGACACTTCGTCTATGGGCTCGATCTGGGACCAGTGCCGACTCGTACAGCATATGGGGGCTGGGGGTGTGTGCGATGTCACACTTCTATTACTGGGTATTATTTTATTTCTCCTCATTCATGTCTCTCTTAGTTTAATAACCAGCATTTAATACTTAATTTTATTAAATGAATGGAAACCTGTGTATATTTAGTGAGGACCCGCACCAGAGCTCTGCTCCTCTCAGCAGTGCTGCGCTGCTTTTATCTTGATGCTTGGCTGACTCTGGCTGGACTCTGTGCTCTGTGCTGACTATGCTGTCTCCCATGTCTGTCAGTTCCACCTCCTCCAACTAAAGACGTTACCATAGTTACCGTTCGTGCAGTGTTGCTATGCCCCTCGGCTGCGTGTCGCCCCCACCCCCCGCAGCGCTTGTTTAGCTGGACATACCACGTTGGGCGGCTTCCCCGTGGCCGCTCCGTGCCAGTGGGGTTTGCCCTCCCTCAGGAGGCTGGCCGGTGTCCAACATGTCTGCCATCGTGCAACATTTCATCCAGCGGCCTCAGGACCTGCCGTGACTTGCTCTCTGGCGGCTCGGCAGCTGCAGGCTCTCACTTCCTGTGTGAGACCTGTGGCGGCGGTGCAGGAACTAGGGGGAAGTGCTCAGTGTTTGACACAAAATGAGTGCCAGGCGTGGGGGACATAGCTGCTCGTGCTGCTTTTATTTACTGATCTATGACAGATTCTGCCCATGCATGGGGGGGGGGGGGGGGGCTCACTGACGCTGCTCTGTGATTTTGTCAGCCTCTTAAATTATCCAGTAGTAGATGTAGGTCTGGTGAAATATTGTTCAGAAAAAGCAGCTTCCATTCAATGCAGACCGTAGGTCTGTAATGATGTGAGTGCATGGTGTGGCTCTGTATTCCAAGAGCTCCCTCAAGTGGACTCTGTACGTATAACAATATGAAAACTAAAATGTGTAAAGATATGGAAATAAAGGGTGAACCATTAGATATTTATCTCTTTTTATCTAAAAAAAATTAACACTGACATTGATGCTGATTGCTTTGAGTTAAGAACAGTTTTGGGGGAAGCAAAGTGGAAAACTGGACCCTTCTGATACTTACTGCACAGTGACGCCATAATAGCGCACGGTGTCTCCTGTACAGCCATGCTGTGGGATGTTGGCCTGTGAGCTTCTCGACTTTTTTTGGTAGGAACCTGTAACCCCCTCAGTGTGTCTGCAGGCATCAGTACTGAATACCCAGGCCAGGGGCAGTAAGATCCAAACCCAGACTGTGGCTCTGATTGTCTGGTCAATCAGTAAATATATCATCCTGTCAGCAGCCATGTGAAGGTCAGGAATGTTCATGGTGTCCCCAAGCCCTGTGAAGGCCAGGAATGTTCATGGTGTCCCCTAGCCCTGTGAAGGCCAGGAATGTTCATGGTGTCCTCAAGCCCTGTGAAGGCCAGGAATGTTCATGGTGTCCCCAAGCCCTGTGAAGGCCAGGAATGTTCATGGTGTCCCCAAGCCCTGTGAAGGCCAGGAATGTTCATGGTGTCCCCTAGCCCTGTGAAGGCCAGGAATGTTCATGGTGTCCTCAAGCCCTGTGAAGGCCAGGAATGTTCATGGTGTCCCCAAGCCCTGTGAAGGCCAGGAATGTTCATGGTGTCCCCTAGCCCTGTGAAGGCAGGTAATCTTGCTCTTTGACCTTCAGGTACTACCGAGGGACCCACGGGGTGATTGTGGTCTATGATGTCACCAGCGCAGAATCCTTTGTTAACGTCAAACGGTGGCTGCATGAGATCAACCAGAACTGTGACGATGTCTGTCGGATCCTGGGTGAGTTTCGGCCGTGACGCACTTTGGCTTTTTAACCCTGCCCACTTCAACATTCTGCGCTGCTGTCGTCTTCTGTCTCTCATTCGGTTGGACAAATTGAAGATGTTGGATAATGGTTGAGTCCCTCTTAATCGTATACCTCTATAATGCTAAATGTCACCCCCCCCCCTCCTTCCTGTGCAAGTGGGGAACAAGAATGACGACCCAAACTCCAAGGTGGTGGAGACAAGCGATGCACAGAAGTTTGCAGAGCAGATGGGAATCCGGCTCTTCGAGACGAGTGCCAAAGAGAACCTCAATGTGGAGGAGGTGAGTGGGGGGAGGGGACTGCCGGACCCCTCCCTGAGCCCCATAACAACGGCTGAATCACATGTGTAGCATTTAACGTTGCAATTGCTTTACATCCTGTGACGTTAACTGCTGTGCCTGTGTTACCTGCTCTACCCTGCAGATGTTCAACTGCATCACAGAACTTGTGCTGAGAGCTAAGAAGGAGGTGGTTGCCAAGCAACAGCAACAGCAACAGAATGACGTGGTCAGGCTGACCAAGAACAGTAAACGGAAGAAGAGGTGCTGCTAATGAGATGGTAGCACCCAGGAGAGGATGGAGGGATAAAGAACATGGGCGGATGACGGCAACTACTAAGTGCTGAATGGGACTCAGAAAAACTAAATTAATTTCTTTATTAAATCTATAAAAACAAAGCGGAGGGAAAGGTCCCTTTTGGACAAATGAATCAAAGACTTTACAGATTTTATTAGGAGAGTCAGGGGATTTTTATTTCGAAGTTAGATGATGCTATTTAATGAATGATTCCTCCAGGTTAGGGAGGGGTCACGGTGCATCCACAGTACTCCGATTCATGCGAACTGATATATTCTTTGCTGTCCATCAGTATATCACATCCTCCTCTTTATCCTTCACGATGCGGGACTTTAGGAATCAGACTCTGCCAGGAGGCCAGGCGTTCTCTTGTGTTTTATTTTTTATTTTATTTTTTTTTTTTTTGGGATGTGAAGAGGTCAAAGGGGAACTGGGGGCTGTGTCTTATAGGTTATCAACTTCTTATAATCAGTGAAGGAAAAATAAGGATGATGATCAAATCCATCTGCGTCCATCTGACCTAACCCCCCCCCCTCCCCCCATTCTCTGGTTTGTCAGGCGTCTGTTTCCAGTACCTTTTCTAGTAGAAGTGAGAAGAAATCCTCCATCTAGCGTGGCACCAACTTCCTGTGCTGCAGGGGAGCAGGACTGTTGACGTGAATCACAAACATGCCCTTTGCCCATTTGCCGCCGCTGTCCTCACATTTTTACAACCTATTTTTTATATTCCATGGTGCAGCCATCATTTACCTGAAGTGAGAAGGAATTGTTCTTGGCAAAGTCATCATGATTGGAGGCTCCCTACCATCTTGTCGATGTACCCCTTGCATTTGGGGGGGATGACGGGCTTCTCGATTGTTTTGTTCCTCTTCTGTGTCTCCTGGAGGAAACTCGCAGTGTAGCCCCCCCCCACCCCACAATTCCCGTGCTCCGCATGGCTCAACATTCTCTCATTCTGCCACGCTTGCAGGGTGCTTTCTGTCCATGAACACGCCACGGTCCGTCTTGTTTTCCTCTGTCGTGTTTGGTTGTGTCATTTTCAGGTGAAACGTGTGCCATCTGGATGCTTTATTCTTCCCACTTAAGCAGACCAAGACACATTGCCATCAGATAGTATCGATTCTCTGGTTCTGAGCTGTGACCATTCAGCCAAACATGTTGGCATTGCCAATGTTACAGGACTTGTTGCCAAATTGGTAATCTGACCGTGGGGAGCTTGTTAAGGCCAAGGCTCCAACCGCTCACCAGTTCTCCGGGGTTTGCAGAGATCTGGGTGCAAGGGGAATGAGGTGAGGTACATGGTGCACAGTCTGCTGCTGGACCTTAAAGAACCAAGCGGAGATGAACAATGCCATCACAGATATGCTTGTTTCATATGTCTGTGTATATTTAAATATATTTCTGTAATATGTACAGTATATAAATGCATATTTAGGCACACATACATGTATTTATATAGATGTATATAGGTACATGCTTGTGTGTTCTAGTCAAAATGATTCTGTTTCACCTGTGGTTCTGATGTACACTGGAGAACTAAGATGTATCATTCATTTTTTCTCATCATGAATTTAATCTATAATAAACATTTTAAAATAATGAACCTTTGACAGCAAATCACTGAGGTCCCTTTTCCCAGTAGGTTGTGATTTTGCTGTGTTGCTGCCTCATTTTTTATGTGGCTGGTTTCATTTTTGGGTGAAAACTGCAATAAGAGTGTTCTTGAGCATGAAGTTTGGGGTCAGAGCCGGTGAGGGCTGCAGGCACACGTCTGATCCTGTGCTGCTCTGCTGTTGGCTGTTAACACAAAACCTGTAAAATGTGAACATTTTTATGACCTCATATAGCTTAAATGACTGAGGTGAGAGTCTGATAAGGTAATTACTGCTTAACTTGGTACAGCTGTAACTTGGTTGGTGACCTTGCTGATTATATGCTGGTTTATGTCTTTGGATGCGATCCACATACAAGGTGGGGGCTGGTAAATCCATAAACCAAGGGAGGCTTAACATTTGGCAATTTTTATTCTCTTCCAGTGGCCCCCGGCATAAAGAAGCATGTCAATGGGTTCTTTTTTATTTTGGAAATGTCTGTGTAAAACATTTTTTCCCTTGTACAGTGTTTAGATGATTATTACTAAAAAAAATAAGCATTTTCCTTTTGTACATATTGTATAAAACCATAAACATGGTTTTCTCTTTATTTCCTTTTATATACAAATGGGAAATCATTATGAAAGTGCCCCTTAATCATAAAAAACTAGAATGTTATATGTACAGTACAATTCATATTTTTCACTTGTGCATAAGTCTTTAGTATGTTTAATGCACATCCTACATACAAACATACAAAATGTGTACAAAATTATAACTCCTTGCCGCCTGTCACTTAATGCGACCGGGAACCTCAGAATGGCATGAAAGCCAGACTTGGGCTGGCAGGCCTGCCCTGAGGAACCTCTGTGGGGCGCCGTTGAGCTTGTCTGCCGAGGCCTGAGGGACTCCTGGAGGCCTTAGGTCCCATCTCAGCCGTTTCATATTGTGTGTATCCTTTGCTTTCATGCAGATACAAACACAGGATAGAGTTTATCCAGGATGCGAATCGGCAGCTGACGACGTAGCCGTCAGTTCTACGGCTCTCACAGCAGCATGAATGTCATCTGAGGAGGTTAACAGCCTTAACCATCTTAGCTTTGTACCCTTCAGATTTGAGACTACTGCAAAACACCTTTAGATTCAGTCATGACCTAACTGATTTCTTCATGAAATGTGTAGAGTTAAGAACGATTTTCTGTTGAACTATTAAAGAAGTAAGGATGAATCTCGGCTTACATGTGGCCTGCTCCTGGATTTTTTTGTCTTGCAGTGCTCAACCTTTTTTCAGCAACAAGGTACATGCAGAGCAGTGCACTGCCTGTTGGCCCTCAACTTGGCTACAGTGGGGTGCTGGGACCCTGCCCCTCTGGTTCGCCTGATTCTTGCTGCCAGGCAGGACCTGCCGTAACCACTGTTTGTCTGCATGCAGGCTTTTCTCTCTGGAAGCTGAGTGGATGTAAAATACATTGGTCACAATGGGGAAAATCCTACACGAGGTTTAAACGAATGATTACCGAAGCTCACTAACACCTGAGCTGAGCTTGTGTAGGACTACACAAAAAAGACACAATGTCTCCTCAATGAAGGGAAAGGGAGGCAGACTGACCTATGGAACGTGACCAATAAAGACACAAATCTGTAAACCGTAAAACAGGCTGTCATTCTACAGTGTAAACAGGTACAGTTGAGGTTTTTTTCTTCATGGGGTTAAATACTGCTGATCTTCCCCTGTTCTGGCCTACAGCTTTCCTGGAGGGAGTCTGAAGCCGAGTTGGTGGGCTCCAACCTCAACATCTCAGACCCACTGTAGCCATCAAGCAGGCCAGCTCTGTGAGTGTCCTCTCTGCCTTTTCATAGGTCATTTAAAGCCAGGAAGTTAGCGACATGAAGCAAGGCATGACACCTACACTCAGTGGGCACTTTATTTAACCCTACGTATTATAAAGTAGGACCCCCTACACTCCTGCACAGTCCTGTTGTAATGTGTGGTTATTTTTGCACTTGTAGCCTTCCTGTTCAGTTTCTCTGATTAACAAGGTCCTTTCAGCCTTAGAAGTTGCATGTACAGAATGCTTTTGTTCACGACTCTGGACTTTGTAAACCGTAGACACCGTAGTGTGCAAAAATGTCAGAGCAAGCCATAGCTGTTCAAATGCTTGGCTAACTGGAGCTCCTGACCCTGTGTGTCTGCTGTATGTGTTCAGCTGCAGCCACAGGATCGACCGTTTGAGTGACTGAGCAGATATACCTAATGAAGTGGCCACTGAGTGTATGTACCTCTGATCAGCCACTGGGGGGCACTCTGTCCATTTAAACTTGGCTGGAATAATGCTACTACTACATTCTGCTGCTATGGGGACTTCTGTTCACTATGACCCCTACATCAGCAGGAGGTGCTCTTGTGCTGTTCCACCCAGATAATGCCAATACAGCAAATGGGCTGCACAAGAATCATCACAAAGTAACAGCAGTCCGGTCAGATAATGGCAGCCGAATCCTATATGCAGCTTCATTTAACCGCCATTCGTACAGCTGAAGCTTGGGAAAGCTTCAGTGAATGGAACAATGGGGCAGCTCATCCTTGATCTATATGTGCCTCTGAATGGCGTCTCCGTTTGGGCAGGGTCACCTTGCAGTCGTATGCTGGAATCCAGAGCCCTGCATGTCTAAATTCAGAAGCACCCTCCCCACTCAGCCAGATGCCCCCCCCAGGAATTGTACGTCCTGTAAACAGTTACTTGTAAAAACAAAAAGACAGCAACAAACAAATATGTACATCTTTCTAAAAAAATTAACTTTTCATTCAAAAGTTATAGATATATAAATATACTTCTCCCCAAACAGTTTTTTTGTTTAAAAAAAAAAAATAAAAATCATTCTTTGGGTTCATCCTCACCAACACCTGCCTCGTTTGTGCATAGCTGTGTTCAGGTATAACCAGAGCCTCCCATCAGCAGCCTGCTGAACATCTCACACTAAAGCATGACAGGCCTCCCATTTGGCAGGTAACTCTTAAACGGAAGCAAACAGCGAAGGCATTGAGTGCCCCCTAACCCCCAATCAGCGTATAACTGCCATGTCCACAGGTTTAGAAGCGAGTCAATGAGAAGCTATGAGAAAACATGTTTCGTGAGCCCAAAAACACAGCATGCAAGCGACGCCAACAGGAAAACTCCTGGCTACATGTTAACCTGATGCAGCCGCTGCTATCAAAAGATGAGCCACAAATCATTTAGCACTTTATCATAAATACCCGAGCGTGCTTATATGTGTATATAAACACACAAGCATTTCCTTAACATTCAGTATCTGTAAAAAATGTCCTGCCCTGAGTGACTAATGAGCTTCTCTCGTTATTTTTTACTCCTGTGTAAAATAACGATAGAGGCTCAGCCAGCTAACTCCCGTGTAACGTAACGGTAGCAGTACAGCCAGCTAACTCCCGTGTAACGTAACGGTAGCAGTACAGCCAGCTAACTCCCGTGTAACGTAACAGTAGCAGTTTAGCCAGCTAACTCCCGTGTAACGTAACAGTAGCAGTTTAGCCAGTTCAAATTAAGACTGTCTATATTTCCCTTGTTAGCTGCAAGCTACTCTCATACTGGCAGGAATTCATGGTTGACCCCCCCAACACGTGGCCCCTGTCTCCCCTGCTGCCAGTTTCAACCACACTTCGTGTTCCTCCCAAACATGAGGTTACCTGTATGCCTCATTACCAGGGGAAAGCTGTACACATATCTATATGGAATATAAATATGCTATCTGATAATCCTTACATGCTGTATCTGAACCTGATTTGTAATCAAGGATATGCTATAGCTTTTATAGAAACAAAAAATGCAATTGCACTCTAATTTAAACAAAACCTGTTTTAAGAGGATTGCCAGTCTCATTTTGCTGTGCTCTGTCCCTGACTGTGTCTGCAGTCCATGTTTTTCAGGGACACACGTGACAAGATACTCCTGGAAATTGTCCCAGTCCGAGCATTTTCACAGTCTCCCTGGACCATTTAGGGGCCGGGCCGGGCTTAGCCCAGCTGGTCATTGCAGTTCTCTTTCCTGTCCAAACACTGAAGCCGGGACCTGTCAGAAATTTTGTGATGCACTTCCTGTCATGTGACGGGCTCCCTGGGAGGTTCTTGGAGACAGCACACATCAGCTTTTCAGTGCTGGTCCTCAGCTAACAGTATCACAGAGGCTGTGCTCCCCCCCTAATATTTAAATGATCCTGAGAAGGTGGTTGAACCTGGCAGCAACCCTTGTGGAAATAAAAGGAAAATTTGCCATCCTCTGCCCTCCTGGCTGGAGGTGCAGGCAGAAGTTTAAATAGAGAGATAGTTCTGGAGAAATTAGTCACTGCTGGCTGAGGAGCACAGGTCTGGCCATTAGAGGGCCTTGTCGTGCTGGGGCACCAATCGCAACCCCACCCCCCCAGTGCATGATGGGGAGAAAGATAAAGTGCTAAATGATGGTGACAGCCTGTCAGCCTGTCCACTTCTCACTTCTCACTCTCAGATTGCTGTCTGCCTCCTGGCTTTGTTCTACACATCGCCTGGTCCAGGGGTGGCCAGCTCTTCTCACCAGCTGAAGGGTGCTCAGCCCCCCCCTTTCAGTTTATTTATGTAATGATATGGATAGCAGGTCACCTGACCTTGTGTTTCAGGTGAATTAAGTGCTTATTAAAATGTATTTAAAGGCCGCTGGGCTGCCGCTCTTGGCCACCCCTGGCCTGCCTCCCTGACTTCCTCTCTTATGAAGCCCATGTCACTTTGGTTGATTTCTTTCCCCACCCCCGCCTGTCAATTCTTCTTGAAGAAGGAGAACAACTTCCTGTCCCCATTGGCTAGGCGCGGAGGCCTCCTGCAGGGGGCGTCCCGCCTGGCCGGTGAATCGGATAGGGAGTGTGACGACGCCCTGCCCTCCTGCCGGTGCTGGTCCATCAACTGCTGGTCGATCACCCGGTGCATGTCATCCTGGGGGGGTGACACAAAGGTGTGAGGGGAGAGGCAGGAAATAATGGGTAGAGAGGTGGGGAGAGGAAGAGGACCAATGGCTGAAGAGGTGGGGGGGGGGGGGCTGAGAGAGGCAGGGGGGGGGGGGGGGGGGGGGGGGGGGGGGGGGGGGGGGGGGGGGGGGGGGGGGGGGGGGGGGGGGGGGGGGGGGCTGAGAGATTACTTCCAAATTATCTTGGAATGGCTGGGTATGACTGGGGGGGACATGGAGGAAAAGGATGTAGAGCTGGATGCAGGGGGAGATGGTGCAGAGGGAGGCTCACCTCAAACGGAAGCAAGAGGGAGGTACCACAAGGGTGGGGGGGTGGTACGGAAGCGGAGTCAAGGCCACTAGATCAGAAACCACAATAGCCACACAGTAAAGAGCCCTGAGGAGGCAAACTGCAGCCAGAGGAAGGAGAAGACAAAGAAGAGGAGGAGGAGGGAGGAGGAGAGAGAGAGAGGACAGAGCTGCCTGTTAAGGAGGACGGATGAGCAGGTAGGGAGATCACAGGCGCACTGGCCAACGGCAACACACACACAGTCCAAGTCATGATTCTCCGGTCCGGAAAGCTGCCATCCCATGCAAGAGAGACTTAACTCTATAATGTTTGTGTTATAAAATTTCATATAACTTCACAAATGCAGATTTCTGCGGATAGCCTAGTCATGCCCCCATGGCACTTCCACAAGCTCTCATGAACTAAGTGTGTTTGTTTGTTTGTTTATTGTTTATTTCAAACATATTCACATTCACCATATTTACATAACATATTTCCAGTCTTTTATGTTTGAAAATAAGCTGAAGTATAACCTTATGTAGCCCCACCCCCATACAATTATTCACACTTTAAACAAAGACAACACAACAAAACAACACTATTACTTTCATATAAAGAATGAACACACCAAATGACACATTTCTTTCAAAAGGTAAGTTTTGGGATTACCATTACCATTACCATTAAGCATTACCATTACCATTACCATCCGGAGGTAAGCTGCTCTTCTTCATCCTCATATTTATTTAGAATTTGTACTTTATATTTTCTTTTAAACTGACATATTTTTACTTTGTTTTAATTCTTCTGTTAAACTGTTCCATAATTTTACCCCTGTTATTGAAACACACAATGGATTTTTAAATTCCCTCTTAAATTATATCCTCCCTCTCTCTCTGAAAACAATTTCGTTATTTTATTTGGAGGCAAGTTATTTCTCACTTTCAATATTATCTGTGCTGTTTAAAACTGGATCAAATCTGAAAATTTTATACCTCCCATTTTTATAAAGAGTCCATTTGTATGATCTTTGTCTCCTACTTTATTTATTAATCTAATGGCCCTCTTCTGCATTATATTTATTTTTTGCAGGTTACTTTTATATGTTTCCCCACACTTCTACACAATAGCTCAAATATGGTAAAAGTAATGTACATTATAAGGTATACAGTAATTTCAGATTTAAGATATGCCTTGTTTTCCCCAGGACGGCCAGGCTCCGTGCCAGCTTCCCCCGAACATATTTAATGTGTGGTTTCCAGCAGATTTTGTGGTCTAACATCACACCAAGGAATTAAATTTCCTTTCCATGTTTACATTATCAATACATATTTTACTTCCATATTTCTCTTATATTTTCCAAATAACATAAATTTAGTTTTATCTAAAATTAATGACAATTTATTTATATCAAACCATTTTTTAATGTTATTAATTTCCTTTGTGATTACCTCCAAAACCTGCTGCACTTCCACCCCAGAACAAAAAATGTTTGTGTCATCTGCAAATAAAACAATTTTTAATATATTCGATACTCCACAAATATCATTTATATACATTATAAACAATTTTGGACCTAAAACTGATCCTTGAGGTACCCCACATGCTATATTCTTAAATCTAGATTTATGTTGATTTATTTGTACAAATTGTTGCCTGTTATATAGCTCTTTAACCAGTCCAATACAATACCTCTGAAACCATACTTCTCAATCTTTCTAATCAATATATCATGGTTGACTGTGTCAAATGCTTTCTTTAAGTCTAAAAACACTCCAAGTGCATACCTCTTATTATCAATACATTCTGTTATTTCTTCTACCAAGTCCATCAATGCCAAGGCTGTCGATCTATTATTCCTAAATCCATACTGGCTATCTGTAAACAAATCATGTTTCTCAACAAAACTATCAAAGTGTTTAATAAATAGTTTTTCTAATATTTTAGAGAACTGAGAAAGTACTGATTTTGGCCTATAATTCGTAAAGTGGTGCTTTTCTCCTGCTTTGTAAATGGGAACAATTTTTTATATTTTCATTTTGTTTGGAAAAACCCCAGTTTGGGCATAAGATTTCAACAATACAGCACAGTGCCATGTGACCTGTGCTCCTGTGAACTCTGACCTACCTGCCAGGCCTCAAGTTGCTGTGACAGGTTGAGCTTCTGCTGGATGGCATCCAGCAGCTGGCTGTTCAGGGACATGATGTCAATCTTGCACTTGGCTAGTTCCATCTCCACCGCCTTCTTCCTGTGTGTGAGCGGAGAGAGAGAGAGAGGGCTGGGATGGTGCAGGGCGGACACACTTACAGTGGTAGCTGGGGGTTTACAGTACAGACAGGAGAGGGATCATTGCTGCTTCTCCAGTTTCATGCTTGCATGTCTCAGGCAGGCAGTTGAAATGAGTATGAGCCTATTCACTCTGTCATGGCTTGTGTGCGACAGCAATGAACTCAGCTCGAAGCGGTCATGTGCTGTGTCATCCACTATTGATCCGTTAGTGACAGAGAAGGTCACCAACATCACATCAATAATCTGCAGTGTGGAGAGCCGTCAGCCAAGTCCTGCATGGAATGACTTTCACTCACACTCTGCTTTTTAGGGTTGTGTTGCATTGGTCCAGGTCAGGTGGAGAAATATGGGATCCTGTGAGATCCTGGTCCAGTGTCTTAGCCTGCACCCAATGCTCACTCTGTGTTGTGCCTTCTGTATCAGTTATGTATGGAACATGCACTGGTGCTACTCGCAGTGACTGCTCTTCGCCACATGGTGGTGCTACATACGTTATAAATGTTACATTCAGTATCCAATCATTTGCCATGTGCCTGTTTGATAATTGAGATAAGTGCCTGATTTATAAAATAGGGGTCATTCTACTGCCCATTTTGGCTTCTGGGCAATAACCATACTTGGCAATTGCTTCATCGCGGTCCCGGATGGCGCTCTGCAGCTGCTCGCTGGGCTCCCGCACCTCCGCCACTGTTCTCAAGTGCTCGGTTTCCTCGCGCACGGTGCATAGCTCCAGCGACAGCAGCGCCACCTGCAAGAGGGGAGGAATAAACACAGCAGTCAGGCATTGGTGAGTGTCCTCCTGTCTTAGTCATATAGGTGACTCACTGACCTGGTTGTGGAGATGCAGCGCCTCCTCCTGGCTAACTCGGACCTTCTCCTGCTCGCCCTCACACTGTTCCCTGAGAGTCCGCAGCTCCTCGCTCAGCTTCCGTATTTGATCCTCGAGCGCCTCTTCGTCACTGCGCCGCGAGCCCTGCATAGGCACAGGTATTTATATACACACAGACATGCACACCAGTCTTCCTGGGGTCTTCCCATTTACTCAAACACTAAAAAGTAGTCCTTATGGGTAAATGAATATCTGCATAGTGTTTGTGATATAGATGTATAGATTATACCAGTGATTATACCTCCCAGCCAATAAAGAACACAGAATAGCTGGTATAAGTGTGCTGGGAAGGAGCAAAAATGACTGGGGGTCCCCAAGGACTGGGCTGAAAAGCACTGGTTTATACCATGCATGGAGTAGGTATAGGTCTGTTTTTGTACCATTTGTATGCTCAGTGTAACCTGGCTCCTTTCTGAACGCTTTGGGTCACCAGCACAGGTGTTGGCTCTAAGTCTGCATACACTTCCGTGTGTCTCGCAGCGCTCATTACCGTGGACTCGTTGCCATCCAGCAGGTTCTGCGTGAGCCTGCGCAGCTCCAGCAGGCTAGCGTGCAGGCTGCCCGTTGGCACATCCTTGGCGGAGGATGTTTCAGACGACTCGTCCATGGAGGAGTCGGTGGAAAGTGCAGAGTCGGTGACGTCGTTGCCTCGCAGGTGAGAGCAGAGGGACCGTACCTGGCAGTAGGCCTCCCACATCTGCAGCCGCAGCTGGGCGTGGCAGAACAGAAATCAGACACAGCGAATGGCACGCTGATCGCCGGCAGTATGGGGCAAAGAGCAGTTAAGTCTCCGTGAGACGGGTTTTCCTGCAGAAGGCCTTGGAGGATCCACCTACTGGGCTAGCCTGTTAGCGCGCACAGCCAGTCATACCTATAGAACCACCAGGCCTACATACAAGAAAATGTTAGGATATCCATGTGATTCTGGGAACTACTAAAATGACAGTTGTGTCGCATATGTGTGTTTAGTAAAATGGTGTCCCATTTGCATGCGTGTGAGAGCGCACAAAGTGTTTACACGTGTGCAAGAGCAAGTGTTCATATGCACGTGAGCATACACGCGTTTGTGTGAAAGATGACACACAAACGCATGAGTGTCCCCGGGACGTCACCTGCTCCCTCTCCTGCTCCAGCTCCTCCTGCTCCATGCTCTGCTCGATCTCGCACAGCAGGCTGGGGGTGTGCACACTCAGGCCCTGTAGGCTGCGCTCCTCACTGATCTCCTCCAGGCGCTCGCTCAGCTGCCGGTGCGACAGCCTCACCTCCTGCAGCTCCTCCTGGCTCTGCCTCAGCTGCCAGGCACAGTGGGGGTCAGGGTGGCACAGCCAGTCTGGGGGGGGGGCTCTCAATGTTGCAGCCAGTGTGTGTGATAATTGGAAGGACAGCAAGTTAACAGTAACTGGCCAAGGAGCTTGTGTTTTTGTTTCATTATAAAATTGACGATGTCATAAGTGACAAATTGGGGCAGTGAATTACCTCAGTGAATTACCAGCAGGGAAATTGCATTTACAGGTTTTTTTGTATAATGCAACTTATCATACTGCTTCTGGGACGTACAGTATGTGTAATACCACTGAGTATCCTTTTCTTTAATTACAATGAATAGCAATACAGAGAGAACAAGAGGTATGGCAGTTAGGGAGCAGCACCAAGACTCTGGCAGTTACACTGGCCTCCCTACTTTTGAAGAGATTAAATACAGCTGCCTGCTCAGTCTCATGGTGTTAATCTGTAAGGCCGAAATGAACCAATAAGAATAATAATTATGAATAACCCCTAGATGAGAAATATTCTGCTGTAGTGCAATATAAATAGCATATGTATCTATAATTAGTCATAAAAGCATGAGCCTCTGTGCCTGAGGTCACCAGTTTGAGCCTTGGCCTCAGCGGAACGGTCACATGTCCATGGGCCCTTGAAGAAGACCGTTATCCCCCTGCTCCCTGGGCGCCGCACACTGGCTGACTCTGCGCTGTTACTCCAAAGTGTGCTCTCACCTGTATGTGTGTTTGTGTATCTCATGGAGAGCAAGATGGGGCAAAGTGAAGAGAGGATTTCCCCATGGGGATTAATAAATTATCACTGCAGATACATGTAAAATACACTAGACATGTCTACTAGTCCTGGTGTAGTAGGAGGTAGCATGGTGATTAACAATGCAGTGTTGAAACATGCTATAGCAGGGTTTTTCAAATCTGGACCTCGATTCCAAATCCAGGCCTTGTTTTCAGTTCTCCCAGGTAGTTAATTTAATAATTACTGACTCTGATTGGTCAGATGCTTCACACCTGGCTCACAGGTAAAGGAAGGCTGGAAAACCAGCAGTGCTCGGACCTCGAGGACCGTGATATGAATAATAGGGTGCCATAGTATATTTGAACACTTAGCAAAACAGCCCCAAGGAAACACTGAGCTGAAAAGCCATTTGAAATGGTAGTTTGCTTTGGTAGCAAAGGAATACATGGTCATTACAGCCCTGTCAAAAAATATCTGCTGCACATTTTCATGTATTTTATTACTATGTTACTTAGCTGACATTTTCACCCAAAGACACTTTCAGTGTACATTTCAGACATTTATAAATGTGAGAATTTGCTATGTTAAGAGTCTCAGCAGTACAGATCTATCCAAGGTTACATCCAACCTATGTTGATGTAGCCTATGTGCTTAACCAGACTCATACCTTCTCACTTGGATAAACAGAAAAACTACTTGCTTACCTAGAGCATTTTTAACGAGCACAGGTCATATCTACCACAAATAAGCAGGAGAGCCCAAAAAATGGGTGGCCTAATAGTTAGGAAAGGACACTTGTAATTGAAAGATTGCTGGTTCAAATCCACGACCAGCAAAGTACCACTGAGGTACCCGGAGCAAGGTACTGCCCCCCAAGCACTGCTCCCTGGGCGCTGAATTGTCTGCCCCCTGCTATGTTACATAGTGACATAAGGGTTAACCCTCAAAATGACAATAATCTTGCAGAGCACCCTGATATATTAAACATTTTAGGAGGTTGACAAATACACAAAATCATCTATGTACATGAACAGAATTCTTCTGTTAATGAGACTTCAGAAGCAACCCCTCAATTAAAGCCAGACAGTAATGTTTATGAGGGACGGAAACCATTTGCCCTCCTTCAAAACCTGCGCTTACGGCAGGCTGCTCCATCTTAAACGTGAGCACTTCTGTGGGGGGTACACTGTGGGGGGTACACTTTGCCAAATGAACAAGGAAAACTTGCCAACTAGCTAATACTCTAGTTGAGTAGAAACTAGTAGTTCAATTTGCTATATTATGTCTTGTTCCAAATGAGAAACAGAAGTGGGGATTTATGGCAGTTAAGAGATTTTTAAGACAGACTACAAAATTTTAGGAACAGGGCTGGGTCAGCATTCTTTGATTTTACGTAAAGGGAAAGTAATTACTTGTCATTGTTGACACCCATAGTACACAACAAATTGTGTCCTTTACATTTAAGACTTATGGCTGTGTTCAGAAGATATGCAGTGGTGAGGTCTGCACATGCACAGTGATTAGTAAGGATACCATATGACAAGAAAACAGACAAAGACAATGCCTTCATACTACCAGTCAAACAATAATCAGCAACTTATTGTGCTTTATTATAAACAGATGACAACCTATGTAATTAGAACAGCCTTAATTTTAGACTCCTCAGAACTGCCACCTTTTACAGTGATTACATCAAACCCTAGACACTACATTAAATAAGGACTGGAGCTACTTTTCTGAAAGTGCTCACTAATGAACTGCATAGCTGGCCCTGTAGCCCTGACCTTTCTATCCAGTCATCCCAGACCTCCACGAGGCTCATGCCATGGGTCCAGCTCCTACTTTTAAATTCCATCCCCCATGTTCAAGTAGTTCTGACATTTACAATGAACACTTTGTTTGACGTTTACCCAAAACTTAAATGTACAAACAAACTTGACTGGCACTGTGTATCATATTTACACTATCAATTCACCACAGCGAACCCCACACCGCCCCCTCGCTGCGCCATACACTCCCTTACCTAACAGGTCGATCCGACATACAAAATACGCAAAACGCCATTCGCTAAACCACCCCAGAGCAACATTTGTTATTTAAACATCCTCTCATCATTGAGCTGAATGTATAATATCCTAAAACGAAGAAGGCGACACAGGACGACCGTTACCTGTAGGTCCTTCTCGCGACACTGACTCTCCAGCTCGAGGGTGTGCTCGCGCAGCTTGTCTATCGTGGAGTGTAGCAGCACGTTCTCCTCGAGAGCTGTTTCCACGTGCCGCTCCAACTCGCGCTTGCGCTCTGACAGCATCTTTATCTGCCCGAAGGAAAAACCAACAACCAGAGTGCTTCACTTTGACTGCTCAGAAATTCCTCATATTCCGTTTTAATCCTATTTCTTCCCCCCCCCCTCCCACCTCTTGACCCATGACTCAGGCGCTGAGGTGAACTAAGTAGATGTTTAAGGAGATTAAAATGCTCCCCCTGTTCGGAGGAATGCTCGTTGCCTAGGACCTTCGTGCGCGTGGTTGGTGGGCGAAACCCTCTTGTTAATTAAAGAATTTCCCAACAACGCCATAGACAGGGCACGGACACACTTTTAATTAGATTTAGCTTAGTTTAGAGCCGTAGTTTAAAGCCTGATTGTGCAGATTCATGTTTACTGTCTTGCGGCGGTTATCTTTCTCATTCTCGAAAATTGCATTTACTTAATTTGGAAGAAAATACTGGAAATCTTTAACATCTGATTGATTTATGCTTGCCCAGTATCCTTTTGAAAACCCTGGTACCAATTCAATACATACGCAGGGCATCAGGAAGTGCTTAAAAAATACAGAATATATATAGTCACTTTATTACTAAAAATGTACGCGTTTCTGGTTGTTTCTGTCCCGACTTTCCTATAGTATCAATCTTTGCTTGGAGTACAGGATGCCCTTTACATCATTGTGAGAGGAATTTTGCTGACTTGACCTAAACTATCAGCGTGAGTACATCCAGTTAAAAAAAAAAAACAGCCTGCTCTAGTTAGGAGACCAGTGTTTGGTATCCCTCATCCTGCTATGACCTATATCTGTTAACCTACTTCAGGATAAAATGCTGGAATGGTGCTCTGCACACCTCTGCACCAAAACGCACATTCACTTTACCGTAGATATAGTTCTCCCATGGAAGTTACCCTGAAATGGGCATCACCTTCTGTGTTTCGAGGTTTATTTTTTAATGGTTTTAAGCAGAGTGTTGGAAAAAGGAGCCTCATCCGAGCCAACTGACTTCCCAACGGAGATGTGGGATGATTATTGGGAAAATGGTGCGGTAAGAGTGAGCGCCGTGGCAGCCTGCGTGCTCATGCAGTCTGCACCCCCGCTCTGTACAGCATGTGGGTTCCCTCCAGTAGTGCTGATTGGCACCCCCAGTCCAAGGACGTGTGGTTTAGGGGGCTGGTGTCCCTGAATTGCCATATTGTGTGTATATGCAAGCACCAGGCTCCCTGCAACTCGGCACTAGATAAGCGGTTATGGAAAATGGATGGGTGGAGAAAGCAAACAGAGAAGGGTGTTTCTGAGAAGGTCTGTATATGTCCATAGGAGCATATACAAATGATACATTCCTGGTGCTGAGGTAGGAAGCTCATATATTCTATCACTCTGGCTAAAGATAGTGCTCCTCCTGTGCTAATTACTGCTGGGGTCTGCAGTGTAAAGTTATGTCCTCTAATCAGACTACAGGCTGATTCGTACTTCTCCGCACGTGTGCATGTAGACAGTGCACACGTAGCTCTGGACACACTGCGCATGTGCCAGCTCATCCTCCTCAATATCCATATTGGAATGACGGAGCAAGTATGCAAGGTGTGCATGCGCACAGTGTGTTTCCTCTATGACACGCAAAGTATGCGGCTTAACCGAAGAACTATGAGCGTTTCTGTGTCTGCATAGGCAGTTCGGATGCACGAGTGCTGAACACGTGCAAAGGAGTATGAAGCAACACCAAGCTTTCACAGGAAATGTAGGAATTATGTAGATAAAAGATGCAGTCTTGTAGTCAGGCCTAATCACCCAGAGCCTTTAATAATTCGTTTTTTGATTATTGCAAGCTTGATAAAGTCATTATTAAACTTTACACACAGTAGACGTGCTACATGAATTTCATATTTTTCATTTATGAATATATGAACTTTGTCTTTGGTCAGTATTTAACTTTTTTTTCCCCTTCCAAGTGTAATGTGAGTTTAACACTGGTATTTAATTATGAGAGCCACAGAATCCTATGCAGTCAAACATAAACACCATCCTCATACGCTGTTTCAACCTCTGGAAAAACAGGGAGAGGGGAAAAAAGTGTTTTTTAAAGCCATGCTTAGGGTGTTGTTCTCTTTTTGGAAAAGTGAAAATGCGTTTACTGTCCATTAAACAGCTGTACACCCCGAACCCGGTTCTGCATGTCTTACTCAGACCTTCAGAGCTGGCACACCTTTCCAGCAAAGCTGCAGTAAGCTGTATATTACGGGGACCTTTCTTTCTGTGACCCCATAGAGCACTGACGTATATATATTAATATGGATTGATCACAGCAGTCTGTGCTGAATTCACAGAACTACCACCTTAATGTATAATCAGCTGATTTCATATTGTTTAGATTGGATTGACTATGACCTTGAACTCAATATGTTGATTTTGGGATCATGACTTGAGTCAAGGAATAGGACGAATGTCTTGGGAGATTCAATAGCCATGAATGAATGGAGAGACCGCTGTTCCAGTGCTAGAATGAATTATGCTCCATCACAACATCATAGAGTCTCCTGGAAGTGATCATTTGGTGAGAGGTCCTCCAGGTCTGCAGACAATGGAGTGGTCTGTCTTGCTGCTACGGGTGAGACTGTGAAAATTGGCGCACCCCATCTCACTGTTATGGGTGATTTTGCAGAAAATGAGCGGCCCTTCTCTGCATTATGGCTGAGTTTGCGGAATTGGAGCGGCCCGTCTTGGTGTTTATAGAAGATTTTATCCGGACATCAACATTTTGACTAGTGTTGCCCAAGCACCCAGCTTCCGAAACCGTGGGCACCAAAAAGATGGACAAAAAGACAGCTTCACCTCAGGTTTGTACAGTGGAAATCCGCTTCCAGGCCATATGGCCAGTCAGTACCAGCCCTTCAGTCATTTCCTCGAATCGTGATTCTTATATATTGTGTCTTACTGACTGGCTGCTAAATTGTCAATAGTGCAGTCTTAATTGTCCAAACTTGAGGTCCATGTTTGTTTCAGACTAATGGATAGCAGGCATGCAGATGAGCTAATACGAATATTTATCTACTTACTTCTAGTCCTTGCTGCTCCAATCAGGAAAAGGGACACAAACAAAGGGAGTGTAATTGAGAATAATAGCAATATGTGGATTTATGGGAGGCTTTCTTAGCCTTGAGAGTGGTCGCATATAGAAAACAAATCGTGTTTACTTTTTAAAACATCTATCTGTGAATTTCTACACCTTATCGTGGAGTATCCAGGAACATTTTGACAATCGTGAATAGATCCATATTGTCACATGAACTGCATACATCTAACTAGAGGAACCTGCATGAACTTGGCATTATCTGTGTTTGTCTTTGTGGATTCCCATTGCATCATGTAGGTGTGACGTGAGGGTGCCGGTGGCCTCAGCAGAGCTGTACACGAGGCTCCGTGTGGCCTAGGCCTCTCTCACCTCGGCCTGCAGGCTCTCCAGGCGTGACGCATGCTGGCTGCTAGCGGCGTTCTTCTCCCGGAAGTCATCGCGGAGTGAGTGGACCTGAGTGGACAGCTGCCTCTCCACTTCCGCAGCCTGCGGAGGTACAGAGGAACGCACGTGTGAAACGACTAAGCGAGATGAGGTCGAAGTCCCACAGGCCGCAATTCTTCCCCTCCCTCTTGCCTCACAGCAGCATCCATCAGCTTGGCCATTACAGAACCAACGTGAAGCAGGCGAAGGCGAGTTTCTAGCCTTTGATGCGCTCACAGAGCCGATCGAGTTTCATCAGCGCCACATCGCGCCGCGCCATCCAGCCATGTCAGGTCGCTCGCGTCGCCAAAATGGGAACGTATCCCGTCAGGGCTGCATACTGTGAGGTATTTTCTAGCTAGCAGCCTGTAGCTTTGCCTTCTCTGTGTGGGAGTCTGTCCGGCTCCAGGACCTGCTGCCAGAAGCTGACAGCTCAACAGATCTTCTGGCTTGAGTCATCCCAGTGTGGTGTGACAGGGATATATATACTCACACATAATCAAGTATAAGGCAATACCTCACCAGTCCGTCATTCTCGCTCTCATCCTCTCTCAAACACCCACATGAGAAAATTAATTGTCCTCTATATATTTACTCAATGCAGTTTTAAAACCCTCTACTGGAAACACTGCAGATTTCCTGTTTCACCATCAATCGTTCAGACACGCACCGCTTGAGTTAAGAACATCAGCTGTTATGGCACAGAGGCTCTCCCTGATTGTGTTCTGAGTGAGGCTGGACCTTTCCCCTCGGCAGAGTGACACACAGTGTGCTTTTAGTCACAATGAGCTTGACTCTGTGTCCCCACCCCCGGACTCCCTCCAATAAATATACCTTCTGTGTAATGCTACATGCCAGGATAGCATGCAGTTCCTAACCTCTGGGAAAAGGGCTACTATATATTTTCTGTTTTCAACTGATATAGTCCAAGTGGGTGAGACACGGCTGGTGAAATGAAGTGCTGAATATGGCATATTATCCAAACTCCTATACTGCTTCGTAAAACTGAGCTTAGTCAGTATACTATCAAAACTCCTACAACTGCTTTGTAAAACTGAGCTTAGTCGGTATACTATCCAAACTCCTACAACTGCTTCATAAAACTGAGCTTAGTCGGTATACTATCCAAACTCCTACAACTGCTTCGTAAAACTGAGCTTAGTCAGTATACTATCCAAACTACTATACCGCTTCGTAAAACTGAGCTTACTCGGTATACTATCCAAACTCCTATACTGCTTCGTAAAACTGAGCTTAGTCAGTATACTATCCAAACTCCTACAACTGCTTTGTAAAACTGAGCCTAGTCAGTATACTATCCAAACTCCTACAACTGCTTTGTAAAACTGAGCTTAGTCAGTATACTATCCAAACTCCTATACTGCTTCGTAAAACTGAGCTTAGTCAGTATACTATCCAAACTTCCATACTGCTTCATAAAACTGAGCTTAGTCAATGTACTATCCAAACTCCTATACTGCTTCGTAAAACTGAGCTTAGTCAGTATACTATCCAAACTATTATACCGCTTCGTAAAACTGAGCTTACTCGGTATACTATCCAAACTTCCATACTGCTTCGTAAAACTGAGCTTAATCAATATACTATCCAAACTCCTACACTCAAACACAGTTAATTTATAAACCTCATTTCCAAAAAGTTGGGATATTTTCTAAAGTGCAATAAAATCAAAAATCTGTGTTTATGTTAATTCATATGAACTTTTAACTGACAAAAGTACAAAGAAAAGATTTTCAACAGTTGTACCGACCAAAGTTATAACTTGATGGCTTCAACACACTCAACAAAAGTTGTGACAGAGTTAAAATAAGTTTGAAAAGTGCACAGAATATTCCAGTAACACTGGTTCGGAAAACTCTACATTAAGCAGGGTGTTTGGTAGCAGGTGAGGTATTAAGTATCATGATTGGGTATAAAAGCAGTATAAAAATAGCATCCATCAAAGGCTCAGTCTTTGCAAGCAAGGATGGGTCGTGGCTCACCCCTCTGTACCAAAATTTGTGAGAATTGTTAGTTCAAATGGAACATTCCTCAATGCAAGATTGCAGAGTATTTAGGTCTTGCAACATTTACGGTACGTAATATTGTGAAATGATTGAGAGAATGCAGAGACATCTCAGTGCGTAAAGGGCAACTTCGGAAACCACTGTTGATGTGCATGAATTTTGAGCCCTGAGGCGGCACTGCCTAAGAAACTGTCATGCTACTGTGACAAATGTAGCTTTATTCTATAGTTTTTCTTGACAGATTCATAAATAACAATTGTTGCAGATCAGAAATGTAATCAGTAAGTGGTTTTGTTATAAACTCAAAACTTTCCAAAAACAAAACATGTTTCAGACCGTGTAAAAGGCGTGTTGATTTCTGGCTGAGATATTCATGGAAACACCATTAGTAGAGGGTAAGGAAGACAAACTGAGGTACCACCATGCAGAGGCTACAGGGCCACCGTCGCGCAGCTGGAGAGGGTTAGGAATCCCCAAAGTAATATCCTCCATTTTTGTTTCTTTACCATAAGAAAACTACACAGAGAAGAAGGCCCAGTTTTCTCAATATCTTCCTATATTAAAAACCCCTGGGAGAACAAAGCAGTCTGCGCTTCTTCAAAATGATCCAGCTAAAGCAACTAGCTATACAAGGCTGATGTGTGAGGCGTGTCCCTAGTATTTTACATGAAAACAATGCAGCTGTTGGGTGAAGATGATTTCTGTTATTATACTGGTCATTGAAGTGCACAACAGTGTTAAAAAGCATATTAGGTTTGTGGTAGAATGCCATGTGACACAGAGCTGTGTGCTTTTCATTACGGATTCTGTTCTCAGATTCCCTAATGTTCCTCTGTCAATCCATGGGTCACGTGAGTCGATCAGTTGATCGGCAGTGTTGGCTTTAGTGCATTTTCGGTGTATTTTCCCTTGACTCCCTTCAGGTAGGACAGTAACACAGGCACTAACTGAAGACAGAATGCAGGTTAGCAGGCAGGACACAGCATCCCACACCAAAGCTTATGGTGTTATACTGTACCTGGCTGTAATTTAGTGTTTGCAAGACAGTACAGTTTGGCATCTCTCCACCAGCAGTGGTGGTTGAAGCCCATGTAGCATTTAGGCAAGCTTCATTGCCGGCATCGCCCCCGCCACCACCATAAACTTCCCAGACTAACTTCATGTTACCCCGACGGGGAGGGAAAGGGGTGGTGATGGTAAAAGGGGAGCAAGTGGGTACGCCCCCTCAGAAGATGTCGCCCTGGGCAAATACCCATCTTGCTCTTGCCAGGATCCGCCACTACCTGCAAGAGCTAACATAGCATACTGTAGACCTGAGTATCCAAAAAAGGGAACCTGTGAGAGCTCCTAGCATGGCATTTTCCAGACCTGAATATCTAGGCAAGGGATCCTGCGAGAGCTCCTAGTGTGGCATTCTCCGGACCTGAGTATCCAGAAAAGGGAACCTGCATGGCATACTCTAGACCTGACATGAGTATCCAGGAAAGGGAGCCTGTGAGAGCTCCTAGCATGGCATACTATAGATCTGAGAATCCAGAAAAGGGGACATGCGAGAGCTCATAGCGTTGCATACTATAGATCTGAGAATCCAGAGAAGGGGACATGCGAGAGCTCATAGCGTTGCATACTATAGATCTGAGAATCCAGAGAAGGGGACATGCGAGAGCTCATAGCGTGTCATTCATGCTCACCAAACAGAAGTGGCCCAAGGTGACTGCGGATCCACCCACAAACAACAAACATGTGAAACCCAAGGAAATTGCTACATTTTACAGTGCAAAAAATATTGATTCCACTGCTGAGCTATAAGTGAATTGCTTACCAATTTCATGGTCAGAGATTATTTACAGAAATGTCTTAATATTAGGGGTTGAAGCATCGTGAGGCATTACTTTGTAAAACTATTCTCACAACAGTTTTAAACACTGGGTCAGATGTGCTACAGGATCCCTATTGTTTTTTTTCCTTACTGGAAATGTTTTATTTTTATTATTTTATTTAAACTAACACAGTCATAGCTTTTGTGATATTTGTTTTACATTCGATTGTTCTCTGCTAATTTAAAAATAAGTAATAAATACATCTTGGAAGAAATTCATATCTTTAAGTTCTTATCCTTGCATTAGAATATGGACCAGTAAATATTTTGATGGTATCTCATGTGGTAATGCTTCGTCATATGCTTTAAATCTATTACACACTGAATATAGAACTGAAGCTTGAATTTTAAACAATTATATAGCAAATCAAATTGCACTCGCAATATCTGTCAGAAAAATTGTGATTAGATATTTTCTCCAAATCGTTCAGCCCTACTGCGAGAGCTACTAGGGTGGCATACCCTAGACTTAAGTATACTGTACAGGAAAAGAAAACTGCCACCTCAAATTCAGCGTCAACGGTGAGAATTGAGTTTTGCTGGGACAGAGGAAGGTAGTGTTTGGAGCATGAAGAACATCATGGAGGAATTTGGGAGGAACCAAGAACACCACAGTCTCCTGATCCAAAGTCTGCCTGTGTGGCCAACAGACAAGTATGGAAGCATCCATCCATCCATTGTCCAACCCGCTTATCCTACTGGGTCGCGGGGGGTCCGGAGCCTATCCCGGAAGCAACGGGCACGAGGCAGGGAACAACCCTGGACAGGGGGCCAGCCCATCGCAGGGCAGTATGGAAGCATGAGAAAATATATTAAGTGAAGAAAGGACAGAAATATAGTCTATGCATCGGGAGCTGAAATTGCAGCCTGATCCTCAGCAGAGCAGCATGCGGTCTCACGCTGCTTATTCTGGTTCCCTCAGTTTAGTCAAATGCTGGACTTGTCTTGCAGGATTAATATAAGGCAGGTTTTAAGTTTCCAAAAGTTTGTCTTCTTTAATTGAATAACTTTTATTTTGACATCTGTGAGTTTATCCTACATTTATAGCAATCTGTAAAAAAAATAAAAATAAATAATAAGTCATGTAAAAGCCCAAATATATGTGAGTTATATTTGGTCTCTCTTTCATTAGGGTCTGAAACGGTGGCACTG